GTCCTTGAATCTAGTCCATTTACGAAGATGATGACAGAGTGACACACAGTTGTTGTCTGGTTTACTTCATTTTGCTTTTGTTGTTGTGCTTTTAGTAGCGATGCAGCTAATTGATAAGTAACACTCAACTGAACAAAGAGTGCATCTGAGTTTCTTTGAAGATGATGTAATAGAAACAATTTTAGTGGATTATATATTTACTTATATATACATATGCACCACAGCTGTGTAACTGTGAAATCATTTAAGATTTTAGTCATGAAATATTAACAAGTAGGTTTAAATTCTTGGTAGTGTGGATGTGTCTCTAGGCAGAGAACATTTATAAACGTTTATTTATTACGTTTATTTATAAACGTTCTCTGCTCTAGGCGTTAAATTTTTGCTAATAATTTTTAGGAATTTAAACGAAAGCTCAAACGGAGCCGGATCTACAATATGACAACAGATATATCACACTCAGCGCCATCTACTGGCATGTGCTTGGTGGAGGCCTTTTATCGTTGATACACTTTGTACAGTACGAAACGGTCGGTCTAAAATGAAATTTGGAATGTAGACACTATTGGTTTGAAACTATGCTATTTGTTTACAAAAGTGGAATGTGGAACAAAACTATGTTGCAGGGTAAATGTTGCATGGTAAAGGTTCAGACAGTATGCAGATGCAGAGAACATATTATCCCTGCAGGGAAAGCTACTAGTTGTGAACTAGAATTCTTCCGGTTTGCGTCTCAGCCGAACTAGTTCACGTTCTATCCTTTTTCAATGTAAGCGACTGGTATTTTTAACATTACGATGTCCTACGAGATGTCAATTGTCAGGCTATGCATCAGCTTCTACTAGTAGAAATACTAGTAGCACCATACCAGTTGATGAGATAGTCTGCCAATTCATGCCCCGTGAAAAGCATAAGTGTGCGTTTTTGCTCGCGACGCTCCAGCAGTCACAATGGCCGACAGAGCAAAGCACTCGCGAGGTAAGCCTGAGGTCCCAGGTTCAAGTCCTGGCGCAGGGAAAATTTTTTTATTTTATTTTTATTTTTATAAATTTAATTTTTTGTTTAGTCTGTTTATTGTAATTTTTAAATTTAATAAAAAAAATATTTTTGTTTAATTTCTCTTTGTTTTTATAGCACAAGCATTTCTTCCTAAATGTTTTTTTGCAATGCAATTAGATTTTCAAATTTGTTATTTATTTATAAATTGAATAAATTATTTTACTTACATTTATTTAACTTTAAAAATCTTAACCACCTCCAAGCGGCCTCGAACCTGCGATTTCAGAACCAGAACCAGTAGTCTTCACGTGACGCCACAGCCGACATTTGTAAGAAAAGCAATTAATTGCGTTTTATTTTTGGCTTTGGCAATTCAAAGGCGGATGTCGCTGATCGCCTAAGTTCTTCGAAATTGTCGAACTGGTAGGCACATACTAGTTAATGAACTAGTATTTTTTCTAACTGGTTTGGCTTTTCACTGCAGGGATTATGTATTATTTGCGACATGAAACGTGGTTTTATTGTGTTAAATTGCAAAATATATGATTTATAAAAAGTATTAATAGCGAATATGTTAAAAAACGCCGATTTTTGTGAAAGTATTAGCAAATTTTAGTGCATCTAAAGTTTACGAGGCGTTGTTTACTTTTACTTGAGAATTGTCAAAATTGGCAAATCCCATGTAGAGGTTTCTGGAACTTGCCACATTGGTTCGCTAATCGTGATGTGATGAAAACAAAAGCTGGCAGCAGTCCGCAAGGTTGCAGAAATCTCTCAAAATATGCACCTGCTTTACACTGTCAAGGAAAAAAATTCCCAAAACTCAAAGCAAATTTATAGTAATTTCAATATTGCACTTTATTGTACTAAAATAATTTTTTTGGAGTATAATTAAAAAGTTTGCAATTTAGGTGAACCCTTGCAGAATTTTTTAATTTTTGTACAAAGTTTGATCCAAAACCTGAAATCTTCCACATTTTTTTTTAATCTACCACACAGATTTTTTAAGTCCGATCACTGATGTATATCTATGAACATTTCTCTCGCAGCCTCTATTCGCTTAAGCTGATGGCACATAAGACTTTTGCTTCGCTTTACGTGACAGATTCGCCTTGACAGATAGATGAATTGTATGAAAATGCACAAAGCATGCCGCATAAATCGTTGAAGCTGCAGCGCGAAGCGAAAAGATGGCCAACTCCC